CATGAACATATATTACTAATGCGTGTTTATTTAAAGCGTGATTTTGTTTTCGCTAATACATTAACTACAGAAAAATTACAATTTTTTGCAATTTCTTTTTTTGATGCTTAATATAGCAAGTGCATTTAAGCGTTCTGCACACATGCTTGACCGAAGATAATTCTTTATTAATTTTAATTTGCTGAAAGAGCGCTCAGCACTTGCTATAGTAACTGGCAACGTAAAAAAAGTTTTAACACAGTTAATACATTTAGAAATAACTCATTATAATTATTATTAGTATGTATTGCAATATGTCTTGTGCGTTATTTACATCTGTGGGATAAGCAGTGGGTTAGGGGTTAATCTGGTACTGACCACTTAATCTGCACAGGCTGGTAAAGCCCGATCTCGGAGTCGTTCGGATGGCTAGGAGGGCAAAACGAGTGGGGAGTGCGTCGGTAAGTCGACAGGTTTCCTCGGATAGACAGGAGACAAGTTTAACAAATAACAAAATAAACGTTTATTCTATAACTAAAGTTAATTTACAGGAGTATACATAAGGAAGTAACAGACTTAATGCTTAAATGTGGATAACAAATATATCTATAATGGCGATCTATTGATAACTAGTCACTATGCCGCGGGAGAGAGTTTACAAAGGATCTAGAGTGAGAGAGTTATATTGGCGGTCAGGTATACCTTATGTTGGATGACGATATGCGACGATCATTCTGGACCCTGGAAGCTGGCTGGCTGTCACAGGCTTATATCTTCTACCTAGGGTTTCTCAANTATTTTTATTTTTAACTTTCCTCTCTATGGGCACTAAGAAGGTCTTTTCCTGGAGTCGCTCGTCCGAAAATTCCTGGAGTCGCTCGTCCGAATTGGATTGTTCGGATTGTAGACTGAGGCCTTGGCCACTCAGTCGTCATGGATATCAGTCTTTACGGCTCAATTCAAGCTCTGAATGAGACAATTTTGAAATCTTATCAGAGCTGTAGAGCATATCTTACCTATAAGAAGAAAAAAGTCAAAGGAAACATACCTCTATAAGCTTCTGTACTTCAGGTATGGTAAAGAACGATGAGTAGCATCATCGTTATCTTATAACCAAAGAAAATTACCTCAGAAGAGGAACATTTCTGAGCCGCATCTGAATTACAAATAACATGCAACCTGAGCAACAAATGAATTTAAACTCTCAGCTTCTATCCATTGTTCTGTAATATGCAAACTTTTGAAACAAGCTATTCAATTATTCATAAACTAGCAGATAAGCCCGGCGTTGCTCGGGAAAACAGTAACGATAGCGAAGATTAAGATTATTACATTATAGCCAATCTTACCCGTTATTACAGAATGCAAGAATTACGCCCTCCTGTTTCCAGACCAATTAGAAAATTTTTAGATGGGTCTAAAATTATGTTCGATTTCCCGCAAAAACATAGAACACCGCACCTGCGCCTGTAAATCTTGCACGTCGCTTTCTCTTAACACTCTCATTGTTACTTAACACGTCCATTCTTAACACTTTCATTGTTACTTAACATTTCCATTCTTAACACTTCCATCGTTAACACTCTCATTGTTACTTAACACTTCCATTCTTAACACTTTCCCCGCGGGTAAGTGTTAACAACCTCTCCCCCGTGGGAGAGAATTTCGAAAAATCCCTTCTTAGTGTACGTTCTCATGACATACCCTAACTGTGTACCAAATTTCACCCTTCAACTCCTAATCGTTTGGGCTTTGTGCTTATTATTATTATTATTATTATTGTTATTATTATCAACCCATCTCGATTATATATATAGATAGGCAAATTTTAAAGAAACGGACGACTTTAATAAAATGTAATAACAATTAATGATTTAATGATCGTTGAGAGGAGAGAAAAATTTTCCATTTTTTGACTTAACGTTCTAAGCATAGATGGCTTCATAATTTTAAGCAACGTCATCATATTAAAAGAATTAAAATTCGTAGTAAATTAAAATCTATTTCTATTACTGATAACCGCAAGAAAATATAAAATTTAATTGAAAGATCTCAGGTTACAAGCCTGAATATATTTATAATTTTGAAGGATTAAAGAAACTTTAAGAAATAATAAATTATTTCCAGCAGAAATCAAAAATTATAGTGAAGAAATTTACCTTTACATAAAATCAAAAACATAACTCAGAATAATCTTATTTAAACTTTAAAGTTTCATACAACTTCTTTCGCAATAAAAACAAGTTCGCTTTTATTTTTGTTTTCATTAAATTTATTTTTATTTAATTTGATGTTTGGTATATGTTATTTTTACAACACTATTTGAAGGTAAAAATTCAGTTGAAATACAGTAAATGTAGAGAGTACATTCTCTTTTTCTAGTCACACCTCAAAAATTTCAGCCTTAAAATTGATACCTTAGACAGGTCTGACTGTATATAATATTCAGATCACATTAATTATATTATAGATATTACTATTTTTTGAAATAAATGTTTCTACTTCAATCAAGTGTTACTTTTTTTTTCATTAAAAATATTGTATTCACCAGTGGCCTAGTAGAAAACACCACTGAACACTGATCGTTTGCACAGAGTTTTCCAAATTTTCTTCAGGTGTCTAATACGTAAATATGGGCCAGTTTTCCACAGAAACTTCGGGAGCAAACTCCTCGGCAGATCTCCCATGAGTTTTGCTGCCTTATCCCATTTATTTAACCAAAATAGGAATGGTTATTCTAATGCAAACTATATTCACTAGTAATGTCATTATCAAACAACTATTACTACTTAAAACATTCAAGATTTAATTCAACTTTTCTCTGCATGATCATACACTTTACTTTAAATATTCAAATTTTATTATAAATAGTTATTTCAACGTTTTTTAATTTAAAAAATTATTCAATTCGTCAACTCACACTTACTGTTTATTCTAACCAAGAGGAAACATAAATCTATATCTCCTTATAGTGTATGTTTGCTCTGCTTTTTTCAATGTATTCATTCAAAAAATAACGTGAAATAATAGCGCGAGATATATTTCATGCAGCACACATTATTCTCGCATCAATCAAGCAATCCTTCATTTTTTCATATTTTTTGTAACGTAATCAATCACGTTTCTGCGATTCTGATTGATTCTATTTTAACAAGACTCTTGTAAGATGTTGATTCGTGTATAAATGAAGTGAAAACTTTTTAAAATGCGTTACATAAGTGGAGAATATTGTGGAAAGTATCAAAATATTTTCAATATCCGAGAAGAAAAATTCAAATATTTCTAAAAATGAATAAATTAGAACACAAAAAACATTAATACATTTTTNAAACAGTTCACTTTTATCCCGGGATCCCGGGACAAGCAAAAGACCGGGAAATGAGAAACCCTACTTCTACCGGCTTCTCCTCGGACAGGATCGGGACGGGAGACGCTGTATTCAGACCTTCCAGATGATCGCACTGAGGGGACGATCGTTTTTATACGATCGTCGTTGGCACTGAGCCAACAGCTTGTTCACTCATTATGCTGACTAATTATCACGTGCACGATGACTAATTAACAAACATTGGTTTGATTATTGGACGATGATTGGTCTTTCGTCCTTCCTACCATGTGGTTATGTAAAATTCGATATCCGATCTATTTCCGTTATAACTTGCGATAATTTTTTTTTATCTAATGTAAAACTATGTTAAACTCCAAAAATTTACGCCCTCAAAACCCTCGGGCTCACATCTCTTTCATTCAAAATCAAATCCCTGGATTAGGTTTTCATCTACATTTTTGTTATAAAACTTTACAAAGTTTTTGGAACATTTTTCTAAGTCATAAGTCATGTTTTTCTAAGGTTTTTATATCAATGATTAATTTGAAATTAGAAATAATATTTGGTATACTTTTAAATCTATTTTCTATTTGTACAANTTTTGTAACGTAATCAATCACGTTTCTGCGATTCTGATTGATTCTATTTTAACAAGACTCTTGTAAGATGTTGATTCGTGTATAAATGAAGTGAAAACTTTTTAAAATGCGTTACATAAGTGGAGAATATTGTGGAAAGTATCAAAATATTTTCAATATCCGAGAAGAAAAATTCAAATATTTCTAAAAATGAATAAATTAGAACACAAAAAACATTAATACATTTTTAATGTAATATAATAATTAATTTCTAGAAGCATTTATGAGGTTTCTTAAAAATGATAAAATATTTATCGTATGTTAAAAACTGTTTAATCATTACCAGATCGAATAAGCATATTTATAGAATTACATATAAAACATTTATTTCTGTTTAATTTATATACTTATGTTTATACAGACTTATTCAGTTACTACATTGATTCTGTCAAAAATTTTTAATTTATCGACATTGTAAATAAGACAATCTATGATACAGATTTATGTTATTATGCTTCAAGGCATGTTATTTAAGTATGAATAATATAACTTTGTACTATATTAATGTAAATTATTCATATTGTATGTTCAAATACAAATTCAAGCAGGTAATTGAAATAATTCTTTTTAAACATCTCAGGAAAAGGGTAGAATATGTCATTCGCTCTAACGCTGCTATAGTTTTTGTAAACTTTATGTTACAATTTCTTCTATCGGTATTAGATTTACTAATTAAAAAATAATTTTATTTTACTCGAGTTTATTTTCTGCTTACTTATTGTGTTGAGTAACTTTCGTTTCCTGAAGCAGAATAAATAAAATCAATAAAAACTGATAATTAGTGGCGGGTTCGCGCCTCGCCAACGGGCTGGTAACCTGGAGTTTTCCGAGTTTTATTTATATAAAATCATTTCATTTTATTCACATTAATCCAATCCAATACAAATGCTAGCGAAGTTTTACAGCAATAGTTTTCGTACCTTTAAATTTACTATAAATTAAAAATAGGACACAAANTACCCCGACTTACGCGAATTCGACTTACGCGATTATCGCTCGGTCCCACCTATCGCGTAAGTCCGGGGTATCACTGTATTGACTAAATTAAAAGCCGAGTCAAGAATAATTGTTTTTGTTTGAAATAGTATATTGATAGCGTTAATTTTAGACAACATTGCAAACCATACTATTAAACATAAAATAAATGGCATTTCTTGTATTGAATCCAATAGACTTTTGACTTCGGATACCGCTGTATTATCGTTACTTACATCAATAAATTCTTCTAGAGCATTACAAGTTTGTTCCAACTGTGTATACACTGCTTTAACCAAATTTATTTTGGCTTCCCAACGAGTGTCGCATAATGGTTTAAGAGTAATGTTTAAATGCTTTTGTAGAATTTCCCATATTTTTGTAGATGCAGAAAATAAGCAATATAACGTTGTAATATCCTAAAAAAATTTTTACAATTTATACTTCTGGAAGCGGCATCACAAATTAATAAATTAAAAGAATGTGTTAGGCAAGGCACATGGGGTTTTAGAGCAATTATTCTAAATTGTACACCTTTATATTTTCCTTTCATGTTGCTACCGTTGTCGTATCCCTGCCCTTTATAACTCATAATATCTAAATCAATCTCACTTAATGTTTTCAATAGAGTTTTTGCTAGTCCTTCTCCAGTAACATCAGTTACTTCAATAAAGCCTATAAATGACTCATTTATAGTTAATCTTTTCTTTTCAAAATTTACATACCTAATAATGATTGAAGTTTGTTCCTTATGGGAAACATCAGTAGTACAATCCATTTGGATACTATAGTATGTGGCTGCTTTTATATCGTCTTTAATTTTGTTAAGGACTTCATCTCCTAATGCAGAGATAATTTGTTCTTGTGAGCTATGTGATAAATGATGCACAATTCTGTTTTTCGAATTTTTTATTCTGGTTATATGATCCATTAGCACAGAGTCGTATTTACTTAATAATTCGATTAAAGTTAAAAAATTTCCATTATTAAGCGTTCCTATTATTTCATGGGTTCTTCGAAGTGGAAGATTATTACATGATAAAAATAGAATCACATCTACAATTCTTTGAAATAGTAATTTAAGTCGTTCCGTTTCCTTATTTATATTAACTTGATTAGTTTTATCAATAGTCGAACGTAAATTTAGTCGGTTTAGTAATTCTTTCGAAGCAATAAACGAATTAAAGTGACAAATAGAACGCTCATGATCTTGAATTACAGTTGACAGCTTTCTCCAGTTGTTATAGCTACCTGTAAACCATGTAGATTGTTCATTTCCTGTGTAGATTGTTCATTTCCTCTTCTTTTGGAAAATAGTATACAACAAAAACAAAATACCGAGTCTTGCGTTTTTGAATAACTTAACCAGCTGCGAAGCTGGGTTTCACCATTTGGCATTTATCAAAAGTACTACATGGTGGAAAATGATCTACCTTCAGCATTCTTAGCAAAAACTCTTTTCTGTTGTACAGGTCCGGTTTTAACACACAAGGGAGAACCCGAATTATAATGTGCTGCGGCAGCACATTATAATTCGGGTTCTCCCTTAATACCTGTTCTAGTTACGATGATACATAGTCTAAAATAATAGGCCTATACATTAAAGATAGGAATAGCTTTGACGATTTTAAAAAATAATAAAATTTCATTGTCATTTACTTTTTTGTAACGAAATTTCTATTCTTTATTCATTCTATAAACATGCCATTTTTGATATATTTTAATGATTTTCTAAAGAAAAATAATATTAGAAATGGTAAACATTTCATCCTTTTCTTAAATTCTTTATTTAATATGAGTGAATCTATAATATTCATATCGAGAGAAAGAATTTATATTTATATTTTAGTTATTGTTGGATCACAAAAACATATCAAGTATCGTGTAAAAACAATATCATATATTCTATGTAAAACTAGTATTAAATTTATGAAATTTACGAGTATACACGAATAAAAATCACTAACTTGCGTATATTCGTAAAATCATTTATTAGAATGTTTTCCTATGCTGAATTAACCACAAAATATTCATTAGATAAACTGAATAGTTTTAAATAGAATGATAACATGCAAAGGAAAACAATATTATAATTCATAGATTTTTACTGATTACTGTTTTTATTAGATTTTATTAGATTTTATTAGATTTACATAGATTACTGTTTTTTACCTTATTTATAGTGAAAAAGATATTTCAGTAGAAATATCTTATTCGCTATTAGATATTCACTATAGAATAAGATATTTCAGTAGAAATATCTTATTCGCTATTAATAAGATAAAAGAAGAAAAGAAAACACATACATTATAAATGAATACTAGTTGTAATTTATTTATTCAAGTAAATAAAATCAACCGATATTTTATGCGTTTATATTGCTATTAACCCATTAACAGTGACAGATCCAAGTGGAGTGCTACAAGAGATTAAGCCCTCCTCACTGACACACACACACACAAAAATTTAAGTGTATTTGTTCCAACATTTATGATGACAAATATGGTTCATCAAACCATTCGCAATACAATCGCCGTGCACGTATTAATTAATAAAAGGACCTTATTAATTATTCAAATAGTTTTAAAGTTAGTAAATGAGCAATAACGGATCCAGAAGTACCCATAGTGTTTCCAGAGCCGCTATTACCTATTAACATGAATTTACTTATGATACAATATTTAACTAAAATGAAATAGCTTACAGAATTAAAAAAGTAGAAATAAATGATATAAATATAACGTAATAATTTAGTATTTATTAAATATACTTACAAATATTGTTAAAATTATTATAAAATAATAAATTATTAAATGTAATAAACGTTATATTTTATTTACTTATGAACGTAAATGAAATACGTGCAGTACAGTACGTATACATAAACATTATGTTTTCAAATTATATACAGTATTTCTAAACTATTTTAACGGATCCTTTTAATAGTAAAGCCAAAGAAATTATAAATTCCTGTAATCGCAGTTTTATGTAGCCTACTTTGCATAATGTTATCAGTCGGTTATTGTTATCATCTTATACTAGGCGAGTCCCAAAGCAATTACAATAAGTGGAATCTACTATAGTTGGAAACAATGCAATTAAAATTTACATAATGGTACAAAATAAGAAATCAGTTTATCGATTTTTAAGATTTATAAACATTAGTTTTTGACGTTATCTCTTTAAAAAGTTAGCAAAGTTTTACATAAACATTCTAGTGTTAGATTGTTTTATGTTCGACAGTATATTATAAACATATTCTTTGCGAAACAAATCAGTTTTATTGATTGTAAAATAACACAGAAATCACGTTTAAAATAAAAATGAAACAATAATATTAGTTTAATGTTTGGATATTTAAGTTAATTGGTGTTAAGTTAATTGAAACTACAATTAAGATACAATTGATGTTACAAGATAAGTGGTTTACTTAAAAGATTTTAAAGTCAATTAAAATTTTCTGATACCACTTATGATTAAATCAAAAGATTTAGTAATAATATAAAATGTAAAGTGCCCTATTCTACGCTAAAGTAGAGAATGTACGACTCACTAATTCTCAATTATTCTGATAAAAAAATAAAGTAAAATATGACATGGATAATATCACTATGGTTAAAAGAATATAAGCTATAAAATGATAAAAAAAATAATTTTATATTTTAATTATAACTATATATTTCTTAAAGATATATATCTTATCGAGTATTACCAGATCTGGGTATATAAATATGGAAACAAAAGAAAATTTTAATGCATAATCGAATTAGATTTTAAAATTATTTTTTAAAAGAAATTTAGTGATTATAAATTATTTTTGGATTTGAGAAAAATATGATTTATTGCCTGCTACACGCAAAATAATTGATGTAGATTAAATTAAAATTAATTTATCGAAACTAGTAGAGAGTAATGATTTTGAAATGGCAAACGAATATAATTTAAAATCGAGTCTAGAAGCAGGAATTGTCATGAGAAATCATATATTATTTAGATACTAATACACACTTTGAACAACATAATATCAAGTCTTAATGATAGGATAGTAAAACCTTCGCAAAAGCCCATAAAATTGTTATTTATATCTTGATATCCAGTAGTAGTCGTTAACAACTACTACAATAATACTAATTGTAGTAATATTAAGATAAGTAAAATTGAGATAATTTAATGACCATGTTATTAAATCCAAAATAACAATTCAAATGATTTCTAATTTCATTATAAATGTTTCAATAAAGTTCATTTTTTAAACCTTCAGAATATTTTTTCCATTTAATNAAATCCAAAATAACAATTCAAATGATTTCTAATTTCATTATAAATGTTTCAATAAAGTTCATTTTTTTAAACCTTCAGAATATTTTTTCCATTTAATAAAATTTTTATTTATTTTTATTTGATGGTATTAATTTGATGGTATGATGAAAATTTTCTATCATAACGTGAATAATTTATCAAATACTGTATTTAATATTTAATTATATACATAGTTGATTTCTCTAAAATTAGAACGTCTTTAACAGTTATTGGGCTGCAATTTTCAGATTGCAGGTTTATACATTTCCATAGTCGTCCGTCCGTCCGTCCCTCAGAGTTAGATGAAAATTGAGACCATATATGGAAAGTTTGGGGACGGGAGACTTTGATTACCTATTTACGAACTTCCGTTCAGGACCGGAAGTCGCGTAATTTTTTTAAAATTGAAAAATGATTAAAAATTAAAGCCCGACATTGTGATAATGTCAAAATAATATATATTCGAATTTTTTAATTAAAAAGTAAGATCATTATTTACAAGCAAATTCAAATCGAATACATCATCTACAACCTATTTCCTTAATATCGTATTTATTTTTCGATTAAATATTTCTAAAAATAAGATAAAATATATCAAAAAATATAAAAAAATTACTATTTTCTAATTATTAAAAGTTATTATTTTATTAAATTATTGATTGATCAACGCGATTTCATGAATGCTATATAGCTGGTTACAGTTTGGTTTTACTAACCGGACCCAAATTGGGGCAGACAACATGGATAAAAAATGGGAAACAATATCCCGATTCATACAATCCACAATAAATTATGGGGATCAAAATAGGATAGAATCCGGATTCTCTATAGCCTTAGAACGACAGCGGCCATCTGGTTGACATTACTATATTAGAAAGGAAACCAAATGTATTGATTATATTTTCTCTCTGTCTTTTCTATTTTAAATTATATTTCCGATCAATTTTATAAATATAATATACGCATTTGTTTATAAATAGTCAGCAGAAAGTTAACTTTTGAATTATTCGATGTAAAATATTATGGAAAATGTTTTAATTTTTTTAAGAATAAGATTCTAAAAATCGTAACTTAAAAAAATAGAAAGAAATTTAAATGATTAGTCAAATAAGAATAATTTAAAAAGTCGAAAAGATATTTAAGATGAAACGTGTAAAGCATTTTACTTTTAATAATTAATGCTTTATTCAACCGAATAACAATTGCACTTTAAACATCTTTCTAAGTTCTTAATGAACCTATTTGTTTGAAAGTATTGTTTTTATTTCAAATTAGTTTCTAAATTTAACACATCTTTCATTTCGATTTCTTGTGTCGTAGTAAGTTACTCTTTAAACAATTTAATAAAAATCACATTTCTTCAGAAAATACTTCAGAAAAATTTCGCAAATTTCAAATATGTACTGTATTGTTTTATATCTTTTGTGTATTATTCTGTTGTAATCCAATTTCCTCTAGAAATATATTTTTTCCTGTTTAACATTTAACACGTAAATGGATTTACTAATTTAGTATTTATATAATCCATAAAAGTATTAACTCCAAAAAACATTAATATTGTATGATGATATTTTACAATATAGGGGAGATCGGGGCAAGATCGGCATGTTAAGCTTTACTTAAATTTTGTGTAATAAATACTGCTGTAAACTGAAAAAAAAGCTTTGCATATTGTCTATTGGAATGTTACCTTACTATAGAACTGGTTAAAATCAGTTTGGAAATAAAAATAATTAAAATAATTACAACTTTACAAGAAGAGAGAAATTGACGAAGTTGCCCCGGGTATAGGGGCAAGATCGGCAACTTCTCTCTTTTTGTAAAGTTGTAATTATTTTAATTATTTTTATTAAAGTTGCCCCTGGTATAGGGGCAACAGTAATGGGGCAAGATAGGCACGTATATAAAATTATGTTATTAACAATGTATAAGTTGGAATTCACTATTAAAACAAAGAAATACAAATCCAACACCCATTTAATATTATTACAACGAAATGCAAGTTCAAAGACATATATACATGAATAACAAATGCAAACATGTTTTCATTTATCATCTGTTTGATTTTTATCCTTTGCTTCTAATGTGGCTTTATGTTGCCGATCTTACCCCGCTAGTCATGATTTCGAAACATTAAGTACAACCCTGAGAACAGAAT